AAAAGTTTAATTGTAATTATTATCATAAATAAAAATAATTTATAATTATTGACTAAACTTTTATTGTCTAAAATAACTAAAAAAAAGTTGATTGATTTTCAAAATAAAATTTTTATAACATTTTGTTTTGTCAAATAAAGTTTATATCATTTTTTTGTTTGAAGTATTCAATGAGTGAATAACACAAACACACATATTCTGACTGATGTCAAAAACTGATTTAATATTTTATATAAATAATGATAATATTTTATAATAATAATAACAATAATGTTAGACTATTCAAGTTAAGAGTCTCAACATATAGTCATTCACATTTCAATATCAACACTCAAATAATAATAATAATAATAACAAAATATTTTGAGAGTTGTCTCCCATTTAGAGTTCGGACGCCTATCTCAGGCAAACCATTATATGAAACGAGAATTTCTATTATAACTCTTACAAAACCAGTTCCTTCTCTCTATATATATATATTATATGTCTTTAATTATTTAACACAAGGATAGTCACTATTATTTAAAGAGAGAGAGAGAGAGAGAGAGAGAGAGAGAGAGAGAGAGAGAGAGAGAGAGAGAGAGAGAGAGAGAGATTAATGTATGAAAACTATATAATATCACAGCAAGATATTCAAGGACTGGGAGTTTGAGAGAGTGATTGTGAGAGTAAGCGATATAAAGTTTGATAGGTGTGTGTGTGTGTGTGTGTAGAGAGAGAGAGAGAGAGAGAGAGAGAGAGAGAGAATAGTAAAAATATAATGTTAATAAAAAACAAAATCATAATAATATAAAAAATACAGTATTATATATACATACAATTTTACACAATAACTTACACAAACTTTACAATTATTGCCCACAGGTTTTTTGGCATAAGTTGTGAGTATGTGTTAAAAATAGAAATTTAATGTAATTATAATTCATGTTTAATTAAAGTACTATTTTTTTGGCTTATAATAAACATCACATGAATTGTAATAATAAATTTTGTTTCTTGTTTTGTTTGTCGCATTGTGTGATTCATTGAATAATAATTGGTTTTTTATAATCATTTTATTTTCTAACAAAAAATATACTAATTTCTAATAATTAAAGTATTTTTTTAATGTAAATAATATTATTCAAAGAATTGTATGTCTCTACAAATTTACTTAACTTTTGTTTTTAAAAAATCACATAATTTGCTATTTATGAATAAATATATATCTATGTTATATAAACTACATTTAAATGAAAATATAAATCTAATCTTAAATTAACCTAATATTTTTGTTTGACTAACAAGGAAAATTTCACTATTGTAATATTATTTATAAATATACCTGTATATTATTTTAAATACATCTATATTTATGTATATGAAACCAATAGGAAAACACATAAAATTTTAATGAGAAAAATTGCTATACAGTGTATACACACACATAAACACACATATATAGACAAAAATGTTTGACAATTGCACAATAATATGAAACAAACAACTTGTAACTTAATTTATTAAGAAAAAATTATGTTTTTAAAAACATAAATAAAAATTATTGAGTAAATTTTTGATAAGACAATTTAAATTTAAGCTTTTTAAATTTTTTAAAAATATAATTCACTAATATTATAGATATATGTAAAATATTTGTTTGTTTGTTTAACAAGTCTATTAAATAAATAACAAAATGATTACAAGTATCTATTTATTAGGAAATCGTATAACTGTTTATATAAAAACATATTTAAAATTTTGATGTCAAGGATTCGCTAGCATTTAATATATTATAAATCAGCTTAAAATATAATTAATTTAATGGGATCACAAACATATAGAAAACAGATAATTATTTTGTAATATAGCTATATTTATTTATCAAATATTTATAAATGTTTTAATATAATAGTTATTATATTATTTTATTCATAAAGTAAACAACAGAATTAATAGTAATTTTATACATATTGTATTGAGAATTAATTATAGTTAATATTAAAAATAATTTAAATATTTATCTTGATAACAATTCATAAATATTTTTAGTTAATAGCTTTTATTATCAAATTAATTTAAATACTGTACTTTGTTTTAAATAAATATTAAATTGTTTTCTATTTAATTATCATATAAAATGATTGATAAAATTTTATAAATTTAACTTTGTTTTATAGTTAGTCACGAATTTAGAGGTTATAAATATTATATTCAAAAATAAATGTCACGTAAGCACCGGGTCCTCTGTAGGTATTTCCATATATATTGTGTTTAATCATAAAACGGCATCAATTGATGGGTTCATTACACGACAAGATATTTGTGGAGAAAATTCACGTGAATTGTATAAAAACATATTGAAATGATATTTACTTCAGTTAAATGACATTTGAAATAAAATCATTTATAAAATGTTAGGCTACTCGATAAATTTTATTTTTTTAATTATAACTAATAATAAATTCATAAACTAACAATGATTTCTACTACTATTGACTTATAGTATAAAATTTAAATGATTAACAAAATAAAATTTTTAAAATTAATAACATAATAATAATAATAACTTATTAATTGTTTTTTAGTGAATTATTTTAATCAGTTTATTATGTATTTAACATATTGTTGTAATAATGATATTGTAATTTAAAATATTAGAAATATATTGATGTAAATCTATATTGTAAAAATGTAATTGCAATTGAGATATGCAACTCCCGAATCCCAACCAAAACAGGGATTCCTGTATCGCACACAAGGATCACATAGTGATCGCACAGGGATTACATAGAGTAAGCAATAACTATTAAATGTAATTTAAATGAAAAACACAGATCTTATACTAATATTATAATATGAGAAAAAAATTCATCTATTTATAGACTTAGAGTATAAGGATAGGAAAGTGGTCTATAGGAACGGGATCTTAAATTCCAAGTAGGAAAGCAACAATTAATGTCTATCAGCTAATTTAATTCAATATAATTTTTTATTTATTTTAATATTAAACATTTACATTAACTTTTGTTGTGTAATTATTTTTATCTAATTGTTATTTTATTCTCTAAATGTATTTTTTAGTGTTGATATCAAATACTTAATCATTATTTTTTAATTTAATTTAGTATTTTTATTTAGAAAAATGTAATAATAATACTCCAAAGTATCATAAGATAAAAATTTACAACTAATTGTTTTTATATACATATAATTTGATTTAATTTATAAAAATAAGTTTTTTGTGACAAATGAACTTAGAAAAAATACACTCTTAATAATAATAAATTCTAATGTATTTTTAATTTTATCAATTGTTAATTAATCAATTATTTGATATCATAACAATATAGGATTTATAATGAATATTTTCTATATAAAAAAACACACACACACATAGTAAAAGTTATTTAATTAATAACTATTTAGAAAAATTAATAATATAATAAATATTATATATAAATTGTCAATATGCTATTAATTGTAATTACATTAAGTGTATTAATAAGTAATTGCTATACTTATAAACTGCAAGTTAGTAATTTAAAATATTATTTTTTAAATAATTAAATTTTCATTAAATTGATAAATATTTTTCAAAAATTTATAATTTATATAATTATTCATTTATAGACTGGCTATGATAAACCATTAATAAACTTTAAGTTTAATACAAATGATATTACACCAACGGTATTGGAAATTAGCACTTAATTATTAGTTAATTTAAAAGTGTTAATCATAATTATATATATATATATAATATGTATAATAGGGTCAACATATATTGGAAAGGGTCAAATTGGCCAGACAATCAAAATACGATGATCTATGGTATAACAATATCAATAAAACGGATGCTATAGAAAAGGCCGAGTATTTGGTTGAACAGTTCATGGGTTGGACAGTGGGTTTTGAACAACATCCCTGTCTATATTATAATGAGTCCAAATCGGATGTCTTGAATTGTTATATTGATTTGACCGACAAAATCATGTTAGACAATCCCGATAGCTTATGGATGATTACTGTATGCGAACGGGCCTATTGTGGCGGTACTACACTTGTCAGCAGCAATCATGTGGTTATCTCATTTCACCTTGGACCAATAAGGTTTAGAATAACTGAAAAACTACCTGAATCTATACTAATGGATTCGAACATTATAAATAAGGTAATTGATTTTTTAAATATATATATATATCATAATTAATAATTTTACAAATATATACATAATGTATTTAATTTGTTAATTTTGTATTTTCTTATAATAATAGCAAACCAGTGATAAGCAAAAATCTATTATATTAGATAATAATAATTTAGATGAGATTAGCGATGCGGTAATTAAAATATATATTATTTTTATCTGTAATTTTAAATATTTTTATATAGTATTAATTTTTAATAGAAAATTAATTAATTATTTTCCATTAAATTAATATATTCAGGGTAAACATATATTAAATAATGTCAAATTGGCGCGCAATTCACAGCACAGGGATTTAGTTTATAATCATTTAAACAAAGATATTGCACTGAGAAGTGTTGAACGGATTGTCCAACATTTTATGATATATACGGAACAGTTTGAAAGATACCAGTGCTTGACATACAATGAAACACAAATGCAAGATATACTTCATTACGACAACTGTTATGTAGATTTAGAGTCCGGTATTGAAGAGAGAAATCCTGATTTGTTTTATGAGTTTGATATTTGTGAGTCTGCCTACTGTTCCATTGATAACAGGGATACCGATCCCCAACACGGTATAATTACATTCAAGTTAGGACCTATTAGATTCAATGTAGTTCAGTATAAGCGATAAATATCAATTAAAATTATAATGTAATAATTAATTTTTACAAAATCTTCTATAAAACTTGTATTAAATAAATTATTTTTAAATGATTATAATATTTTTTATTTTAGTATATGATATGATAAAAAAAATCATAGGTTTAAAAAATAAAAGTTTACTATATAAACAAATGATAAAATAAAATTTATTATTATCAAAATTATTACATTTATATATATTAAATATTAGTAAACCAATAATGACGCCTAAATATCAATACAAAATATAAGTAAAAAAAATATTAATAAAAATTATTTTTCTCATTAATCAAAATAATTGATATATAATATCAATATATATATATAATTTATATCAATTATTATTATTATTACCTCAAAGTCATAAATCTTTTCCGGCATTGTATTGCTGTAAAACCATTTTCCAGTTGTATTATCAAAAATTTCAATTGACTCAAAATTTTTTGCAAACCAACCATCTAATTTATTAAAACATAATAACAATTATAAGAAATACTAATTATTAAATACATTAAATAAATAATAAATAATTTAATTGTGATAATACCATTATCTCGTCCTCCGATTGCATATAATATATTGTTATATGAAATTAAATTAAATAAATATCTTTTTTCATTCATCGATTCTGATTTTATAAACAAAAAATAAATAAGTATTTGTTTGTTGTATTTTAATTAATGTGAACAATAAGAAAAAAATCAATGAAATAAATGGAGAAAAAAAAATTTTGTTTGCCTATTGTTTTCCAGATATCTTTGTCCGGATTATACATTTCACATGTTTTGAGATCATTACCGCCACAAACATATATCTGTCCCATCATTGCAGCGGCACTGTGACCAGTCCTGAGTTCAAATATATATTTTTTGATAATTAAATATAATGTATATATCAAAATAAATATAATATACCCTGATAATTATCAATAATTAAAAATATATAAAACTTACCTAGCTTGGTTCATAGATGTGATCGGTGTCCACTTTTTGCTGACAACACTATATCTGTCAACACTATTTGTTTTGCCGCTAATTTCGCCACCAATTGCGTACAAACTGTCAAAATGTGAGATCAATTGAAAGTTTGTCCGCAGATTAATCATTGGTGTCGTAAATATCCATTCATTAATTATATAGTCATAGTATTCACACGAATATAACTTATTGTCTTTACTTTTATATCCACCGCAAACATAAATTTTATTATCCATAACTGCGGCGCCCATTGAACTATAAGACAATAGATATAAGCAAATTATTTTTAAAACAATTAGTTTTATAAAAAAAATAGTAAATTAAAAAAATAATATTCTTATAAATATGATTTTCTCATACTATCTTTGTATATTCAATGATGCCATTCGATGCCAATTATCATTTATTTGATCATATCTTTCAACAATATGTGATGTCGTATCCTAAATTATTACATTTACAATTTATTTTTAATCATAAAATTATATATATAATAATAATTTTTACTATAGATAATTCCAATTAAAAGTTTAGTATACAGTTACCTAATATTAGGTATTTATATAAAGTACCTTGCTAAAGCATTACATAATATTACTAAAATTTAAACATTTAATTGGCATAAACTGTATAAATGTTGACTTACTCCAATTCTACCACCGATGAGATAAATAAAATTATTGAAAGCAATCATTTTATGTTTGTCTACTTTATAAGCAAATGGTTTGACTCCCCGAAAGTCTTTTAGTCTGATATTATATGCAAGCATTTTGTTACCCAAAGCACCGCCTAATATATAGATGATTGGATCGCCAATCTCTGGTATGGTTTGGTTGATAAGCCGTCCCTTACGATAGAAGGCAATTGTGGTTTGTTTTGTCGTAATATTATATTTACTAATATTAAACAATTGTTGCATTTTATTGTCTATAATTTCGTAATTGATTGCATAATACGCATAATCATTGGTAAGATTTTGCGGCAATCGTCTAATCATATTATCTAATATATTAATGGTTTCCAAATTATCATAATGAATGTCAACATCATATGAGTACATTAACATGATGACAATTTTATTGTAATTAGCAACATAGTAATTAGCAAAATTAGTATACTTGTTAATTATATGGATATTTTTGATAGATTTAACCCGATCAAATATTGATAATTTAAATTGAAGTTTTTCCAAATTATTTAGTTTGGCAAACATGTTATCCATAGAATATTCATCGTTAATAAACGTAAATAAAGTTTCCTCTAATTTTTCGACACCTACTATACCTGATCTAACATCTATTAGCATATTATGCAATACATGAGATACCTGTTCCTGATATTTGCTATAATTTGCTTTCAATTGGCTTACATAGTCCAGATGCTCGGCTTTTAAGTTATCTCTGAACCGATTAATACTAATATAATAATCGTTAAGTTTCTGTTCAATTGAGTTCATATCGTCAAACAGTTTAACACATTTGTCGATTACTTGAGGGTCAATGTTGACAACAATAGTACTATCATTACTGCCATCCAATTGCCACAACTGTCGAAATGTGTTGATTGGCATCAATATGTGTGTCATTTGTTTGCCTTTACCATCATTACCATTGACCAGTAGTTTAGGTGTGTTTCGCATGAATACCAGTGCGTCTTCAATAGAAACGGGCGAATAGTCGGGCAATATATCGCCAAAAACTTCAAATTTATATTTTCCTAATTGTTGCCAATCGATGTCTGTATTGTTTATCGAAACTTCTCCGGAAATTTTATTAAATAATAAGTTAATATTAGCGCCTAAACGACCCTCAATGCTAACAATATCTTCATTTTGATCGTTAGAGTCATCTATCTGTACAATGACTTTACCTCCCCATTGAATACCGACAACTATATGTGTAAACTGAATCTCAGACAACGCATCCCAATTGATAGCCGGACTAAGTGTTTTGTCGGCCAAATTGATTGACTCGTATCGGGTGTTAATTGTCTCAACCATTGTTAGTCTGGTGCTCCGGGCACTAGATTTTCTTGATTTAAAATACTCGGCCGCACCATTAAATTCAAAATAACCACCTAGTACACTTAACTGTAGTTCAGCACCCAGGTCCCATTGATGAAATTTATCGGAAATACATTGTTCAAAACCAAATTTCAAGTTAGTATATTTATTTTCAATTGATGCAACATGGTCATCCGACAACAATTTCCGTTTAAATATGTTAATACCCGTAAATTTATCGTATCTTTTATCGTAAAATTCACCCAACTCTGCTATACGACCCAACGATTCCAATTGTATGGTTTCAATGGTAATACTATTAAGACTTTCTATGGACTATAAATGCCATTTAGTTTATAAGTAAATAACTTATTAAAATTCTAATTAATTAATTGAGTGTTTTTTTTATTTACCTGTTTTGCCAGTTGAGGCATATTCAAAGTTAATATATAATTAGTGCTACCATAATAGCTATATACTAATAATAATTTTATAATAATAGTATACATTTTTGTATAAATTTTATATCTCATATAAAACATTAGTAATAATAAAAATTATACATATTCAAAATATATAAATTTTCTGATATTTATACAAAATGCTAATATTAAAATTTCCACAATAAATGTAGTCTAATCTAACAAAATATACTAATTTAAATCTTGACTACCTAATAATTTTTAATAAAATTATATTTGTACAATTTATAAATGATTTATTTGCTGATAATCACAAATGTTATATTACATAAAAATTGTGAAACTATTTTTACATAATATTTTTTTTGATAAATATTTAACTTTTATTTTAATACAAAAGTTAATATTAACTTATTCAAAATTATCAAAAAATACAGTAATAATTTATAATAAGATTTACTGTTATTTAGATTATTTAAATATAAAATCTTATTAATACCAACAATAAACTAATTTTTACACATATATTGGTATATAAATAATTTCAAATATATTAAAAATCATTTATTTTTATTATTTTAAATTTATCATTAAAATTTATTTAAAAAAAATATTTATTATTTATATAATAAGAAATGTATATTTATAATTAAATTTTATAATGTACTTTACATTTAATTATTTAATTATAGTTTATCAAGTAATCAATTGAATAATCAATTTTACGTTTTTTATTTGAATCCATAAAATATTTTTCTCTAAAACACTCATTATTAGTAAAAGTAAAAACTTTAAGAGTATCTGATTTTTCAATAATATATTTATATCCCAATGAGCTATCATGTAGTTCCTCCTGTTCAGTGTTATCCCAATAGCTTTGATCAATATTTAAATGCAATTTAAATGCTTTCATATCTATTTTATAATCACAGTACCACCATCCAATATTATCATATTCACGACAATATAGGTGTAAATTATTAGGAATTTTCTGTAAGTATTATATACAAAAAAAAGATAATATTATTATTTTTTTCATAAAACGTTATATTATCGTAACATAAATGTAAATAAAACGTTATATAACGTTATATTATAAATATAAGATTATTTAGTTAATTATTAATTATACAAAATGTATGAATTACTAAACATTTTTAAAAAATAAATGATAAATTATCTAATTATTTCAATTATAAAAATAAGTCTAATTAAAAAAGCATAATATATCTAAAATAAATTTTTTAAAATCATAACTTGTAAATATTTTTGTTTATTTAAAAATATTATATTTAAAATTTATATATATAAATAAATAAATATTTAATAATACATTTTTTTGGTTTTAACATAAATAATTATTAACAACAAAACAACAAATTACATTTACAATTAGATTAATTGAGACAATCAAGTAAATATCTGATCATGGTAACTTTTTTAGATTTCATAAAATACATATCTCTAAAACTTAACGTATTTGTATTATTTGGATTATATGATGTAACTAAATATGAATCGCTTATTCTATAACTATATCCGAGTGAACTATCAAAAACTGTTTCATTTAATCCATACATTAACTCTTTATCTAGATTTAAGTGTCCCTTATATGCAATCATATCGTATTCATTTATATTAACTTTAATATAACTATCATATTCCCTGCAATAGATATGTAAATTATTGGGAATTACCTCCAAATTCCTTAAGTAAATCATAGCATTTATCTGATTGATATCTTGTTGAAATGACTCCAGTTCCTCGCCATCGGCATTAAAGTTAATCTCTACGTCCAAACCGGGCTTATAGTGTCCCCAACAGTACTCAAACACATGATGCCTATCGGGTGACCTCTCGGCCCAACACATGACCGCTATGATTGTCATTTCGGTAATATTTAGGCCACATTTAAATACAACAGTTTTCAATGATGGACATCCATTGAGTAATGTATGAATACCGATATCATTGATAAATGTATTACAATAAGGCTTACAGAATATTCTTAATGATCGCAATTGTCTTAGTTTTGCCAACGACTCTAATGTTGTGTTTGACAAAAATTGTAGTGTTTTTATCTCAAGTTTTTCTAAATATGGAAAATATTTGTCTATGTCTTCAAAATGTTTGTCACTGAGTGTTTGGCAAACAATGTAGAGCTCCCGTAACCGGTTTGCCTGTAATGACTGTAACGAACCCAACTCGACATCTTTGATACGGATTTTCAATTTCAATGACTTCAATGTTTTGAATGCCGATAATTTTGAAAGTAACGGTCCGTCTGGTTTCTGGGCATCAAATCGACAGTCAATGTCCAGATGTGTTAATTTGGGAAATTTTGTGGCCAACTGTACACTACCGGAGCTTAGGTCTAATTTTCCTCCTTTTAAAATCAGTGTTAGTTTTTGTAATTTACTAAATACTGGTAAATCTTCTATCATTTCATTCATTGGTATATGAAATGCATTAAAATTAAATATTAACTTCAATTGTGACAATTGATTACTATATTTATCAGTAAACTTTAAAAATAATAAATAACTATAGTATGAATCAATTGGCACACATATATCACATAAATGTTGATAATAATTTTTATATACTATGAGATGTTCGAGATAGTAACCTAGAAATTATATGTAGTTTTTTTTAAATAGAAAAAAATATAAGTACAGGTAAAGTTATGATTAGCTAACTGTGCTGCAATAGTAGTCAACATACCCGAATTATAGTCATCGTAATCATATTCACAGATATTGATTGACAATAAATTAGGTCCACATTTTTTGGCAAACATTTCTTGTATTGCCACTTGAATCGGATTTATTGAGCTCTCGAAGCGCACAGTTAGCCGGCAAATGTTATCACAGTTTGTAGCAATCATAGACATGACACGCCTATCACATAGAAGATTAGAGTAGTTGAAATTGGTCAGTTGGTTACATTTGCGGAACAGTAGTTTCAGTTTAGCCAACTTTATTTGAGGGGTACTATTTTCAATACAATTCCATATATTATTGTGTGATCTATGTATACTTGTATAGATGACCCTGGACCATTGACGGCTCACACATTCCATGTGTAGCCTGTCCTCGAAGGACATGTAGGATAGGATTAGTTCACATAAATCGTCGTCTAAATTGAACGACATTATTGTTTAACAATTAATTAGTAATACTTTATATTAATGAAAATTTAGATTTATATAAAAAATATAATGAAATAAATTAAACAATGAAATGAATATTATATACAAATGCTATATACAGATCACTAGTATATAGTTTAATGTATAAATTATATATAAATATTACATATAAAACTAAATAATTTGTTTTTTGACTTAAATATATAAATGAAAACAAGTTTCGTAATGTAAACGTAAATAGCATTTATTGTATAATAATATTATTATATTAATAGTTATGCGCATTATTACTAAATATATTATGTAAAAGTATATATAATATAAATAATAAGTAACGTTAGGTGAATGTAACATACAATGTGTATTTGTATAGAAATTTGATTGCAAACATGTTATGCAATAGCATGCAATACTTTTTTTATTTTATTTTTTTTTATTATTATCTTAATTACTATTAAATATTATTTTATTGTTATTATATTACTTCAGTTGTTGTTTTAATTAATCAAATAATATTTTTACAAAATTACCAGCAGTTTAATAATATATAAATATATTGAATATAAATTATTTAGATTTTTGTATTTTTATTTACTTATTTATGGTATAAGCATTTTAACTTCACAATGTAACAAAAAAATAGTAAAATAATTTTGTTTGATAATAATTTACTGTACTTATAAATCAAACAAATACAAATAACAATTCAAAATGTAATATTATATTTGCCATAATATCAAATATATTAATAATAATATTTACTTGTAATCATATACCTGTTAAATTGATCAAATAATTAAGCCAGGGCACATTAATAAACAAAACAATTATTGCAATACTAGGTGGCACTCAATGAATCACAAAATCATTTTTGGCTTATATAAGTTATAACAATATAATATAAAAATTTAATTGTAAAATGCAGTTTACCTGAACTGAAACCATCATAAACTTATACTGTATTATATTATGTATTATACCTTAATTAATATAACTTATATGATATTATATTATACTACAGTACAGTATTACTAATATAATTAGTAAATATGTTAGATATCAGTAGTTTGATAAACAAATTGAATATATTATTTAGCCGACATAGTGTAGTAGTATTATATTAATGTCATAATTAAAATATTAGTTAAATATATTGTTAAATATATTATTGTTGAAATAACAAATTGATTAAATTTTTTTAAAAAAACTTATTTTTTTAAAATTAATTTTTACTTAAATTAAATTAAGCATCAAATAGTTATAATTATATAAATATGGATGTATTACATAATATCATTATTTATTAATGTATAATAATTGCAATATTATTGTTGAGAAGATATTATTATTAATGTTTATTTTTGTGCACAAATAATACTTTATATTAGGTAATAAACAAAAAATAATATATAGATGAAATAACGGTATTATTATATTAGAAGTAATTTATATAATAAAAGTTGTAAAACATTTTTATTTAATAAATATTATTAATAAATATTGCTATAATAATCAACATAGCTTTTTAACAAGTTAATTACAAGTTATTTTTTAATTTTATTTTTAATAATAACTTATTACTTATAATTTAATAGTAGAAATATTATATTATAAAAATAACTTTAATTGACTTTTATTTTAATTGAATATATGTTCATTGAATAAATAATAGTATTTTTAATAGGTATTAATTAAGGATTAATAAGAACTAATAGACAATATTAATCAAAAACATTTTTGATAAAGAACATTATATAGTAGTATAATATATCAATATATTACTAATAAATTTATTTACTAAAATAACTTGTTTATTAACTATTTGAAAATTTATTAATTAATATCTTAGATCTAATTAATATCTAATTTTAATCCATTTGTATAATGTATTTTTTTATTTTAAAAAATGAGATTATAAGAACCAAAAGTCCTAGGTAACTTAAAAATGTATAATTGATAAAAATGGTGACATAAATAATTTTACTATAAATAGATTAGTTTTAACTGTATTAAAGAAAATATTGATTTTTATTTTATTTATTAATTAAATTAACAAAAAAAAGTCAATTTAAACTAATAAAAAAATGTCAATTAAATTATTCTCGTTATTATTTTTTATTGTATTTTTCACATTACAAGTTAATGCAAATAATGATAATAATAATTTATTTGTAAATTTTGGTAACGACGATGACTATACAGCTGTAAAACAGTCGAGAAATTTTACCGGAAAAGTAGTTTTGGTGACGGGATCGAGCAGTGGTATTGGTGAGGGTATTGTCAAATTGTTTGCCGTTTTGGGCGCCAAAGTGGTAATCACTGGCAGAAATGCTACCGAAATAGACAAAGTAGCCAAAGAAGTGGAAACTCTTTCGCCTTATAAACTAAAAGTGAGTTTTTTAAATTAAATCTTAAATTTTATTTAATAACTTATTTTTTTATTTCAATAAATGAACAGCCATTGAAAGTTAAGGCAGACTTAACGAAAACTGTTGAATTGGAAACACTGTTGAATGAGACGATTAAAGCTTATGGAAAGTTAGATGTTTTAGTGAATAATGCGGGCATCGGCTCTATGGCCACTATCAGGGATAAAGATTTTATGAAAAACTATGACAATATATTTAATACAGATTTGAGAGCAGTTGTATTGCTTAATCATTTAGCATATCCTTATTTGGAGGCAACTAACGGCACGAGTATTCAAATATCGAGTATTGCATCATTAGCTCCGGTATGTAATAGATGTTGACAAAAAAATCATAATTATAATTAATAATATATTATTTAAAATTATAGAATAATTTTGGTTTAGACTATGCAATGGCCAAACATGCTATGGATATGATGACACGGGTTCTGGCATTAGAAATGGGACCAAAAGTTAGAGTCAACACTATTAAGTAAATACTAATAATAATAATAAGTGTATTATTTAATGTGATAAAATTATTTATTAAGTTTTTATATACATATTTTAACTAAATAGTCCCGGTGCAATTTTGACAGACGGTTTTCGTGATAGTACTGTACCAATAGTTGTCAAATTGCGTGAATTGGCCAAAAATAATGCACCACTAAAACGGTTGGGCACACCACTGGAAATTGCCCGGGGTGTTGTATTCCTGGCCTCGACTGATGCCCAGTTTATTACCGGTGCAAATCTGGTCATTGATGGCGGTCTATCCTATAATTATCCTGGTATTATTACGCTATAAATATAATATTTGTTATGAAAAGTTGACAAAAAAATTATTTAATTATAAATTTAAAGGTGTTTTCAACAACATAAATTATAATAGTTTGCTATTTTACTAAAAATATTACTAATAATTAAAAAAATATTATTGATTTATCATTTTATAAAACAATAATAAATGATTTGATAACATTTTTTTTAAATGCTTAATTGTTGAAAAATGTTTTGTCATTTATAAAAACTAAATCAATTATTTAGATAAATATTTAATGCTTATTTTATACTTTTATAAAAATTTAGTCTTATTATTAAATTAAATTATATTAAATCAATAAAAATGTACTAGAAAAATTTAAAAACATTTTTTAATAATTAATTATTTAAGAATAATTGTCACATATAATATAAAATTAATTATTCAGATAATAAACATATTTTTATACATTTTGTAATAGTATAAAAAATTTTATTTATATATCATATTACCGTAAATATAAGAAAATTAACTTAAAAGTTTCATCATATTTATAAAAATGGAGTGTAAAAACGTTTTCAAAAAAAACATTAATATTAAAAATGTTTTTTATCACATTAAATATGATAAATTAATTTTTGTACACATGCATTAATAAAATACATATTGTAATGTTGTTATGCGATTGTTTTGCAGTATAAATAGAAAAGTCAATTGAAATATAAAATAATTTTCAAGCAATTTTAGCTAAAAGTATTTAAAAATATTGAAAAATTAAAGTTATTCAACAAAATGATAAATATTAATTATACTACTATTGTTGCATTGATTGTAACACTAATTTGGTGCTACACTATGACAGGTAATTATAAATAAATATTTTGACAAAAATTATCAATAGTTATATTATTTTGTTTATTAATTTATTTCCAATTCAATAGTTGATTGTTGCGGTTCAGGCAAATCTACATTCAACTGTACTGATGGTCAAAAATGTTGTTTCGACTCATGGAGTGGGACCTACTATTGTGATAAAACTTGCTCAGGGATGTGATCGCATGACATAATAATTTTATAAAATTAACATGGATTTTGTTGTGATTAGTTTACATATTATAATAATATGATTTTAAAAATTGATTGTAATAATAATATTAGTTAATAAATAAAGTTTATATTATTATTGATATTAATTTATTAATATTAAATAAAAAAACACTAAAAAATATAATATTTAGTTACTAAGCATAACTAGTCACTAATAACTCAAATAATATTTATTTAAAAATTAACATTATTTAACATTTAAAATTTATTTTTTATATTTATAATTTTTTTATTTAATAAAATGGTTAATCATGATGTATACAAATTTATAATGTTTAATAAACTTAAACTGCATATACTTGAAAGTATATATTAATTATCTATGTAATTATGAATTAAAATTATATATTTATTTAGTTATAATTCTATGTAATAGTATGTGATAATGTTTTGTACTAAACCTACAAAAATAATTAATTTTCTTAATTAATTATTATATGATTAATTTTATAAATATGTTTTTGTATTAAAATACATATGTTTTAAATAATATAGAACACAATTAAAAACAATATTGAAATATGAGTTGTTTAAAATTATTAGTTTTTAAGTGATTTATATATTTAATTTACTAAACTACTACATGATAGACATGTCTAATTTTAATTACATATATACATTTTACTAAAAAATAGCACCAATTATATTATTTTATAAATATTGATATAATTTTGTGCACATATAGTTTCAAAACATGCTGATTGGTTGATTTGAGATTGCACTGGGATTGTTTAATAAAGTCGACAAAAAAATTAATTATAAAAAACATTTAAATAATAGTCAGAATTTAAAATAATAAGTATTTTTCTAATTTAATTTAATATTTATATACTGGTATATTAGTTAATAAATGTTTTTTTAAAAGCATATTTTAATTATTATTATTAAATTTATTATAAATTATTTAACTTAATATATTTTTATTACTATTAATAAGCTAACTAATAAGTTAATATCTATCAAAACAATATTTTACTATTAAATAAACACATGTTAACTTACAGATAAGCTAAAATTAAACATCCATGAGCTAATCTAAGTAAATATTAATTATAAATATATAAATTTATACGGTACAGTAGTCTATAAAAAATAATGATTTTATTTTTTTATATCTTAGGAAAACATATTTATGAATAATAATATTAATTTATAAAATCTTATTTAGCTAATTAAATCATGTTATTAATACAATGCTAATAAAATGTTAGAAATACTAATATAATTAATATATTTTTAATTAAATATTTATCTACTTAAATATTAAACTAGGTAATTTGCTCTACTATTGCACAAATTGATGTGAAACAAACATTTGTTTTTTTATTAAGATAATATAAATATTATATATATATATATATATATTATACTATATAAACAGTGTATAAAAAACACTCATCTGAATCATTTAAAATTTGAATACTAAGCATATAATTTTAGCTAAAGTTTATATCAAATATGAAGATTTTATTAATTATTTTATTAATAGTTTTATTTACTAAAGCAAATTCAAGCATATTTTACAATCTAGAAAATGATGACTACAAGGATATACTAAAGTCACGTAATTTTACCGACAAAGTAGTTTTGGTGACCGGTTCGAGCACCGGTATTGGTGAAGGTATTGTCAAATTGTTTGCAGTTTTGGGCGCAAAAGTGGTTATCACGGGTAGAAAAGAGGCTGAAATTCGGAAAGTGGCTCAAGAGGTCCAACAATTATCGCCGTATAAACTAAAAGTAATGTAAAAATAAATATATAAACATTTTAAATAATGTTATAGAAGTTTTCAATAAAATTATATAAAATTCAATAAATATTTTATTTAATAAACATTTGTTTATATAATTAAAGCCATTGGAAGTGGTGGCAGATCTTACCAAAAGTGATGAATTACTGAAACTAATCAACAAAACAGTTGACACTTTTGGTCGATTGGATGTGTTGGTCAACAATGCCGGCATATATCCTAACACTTCAATTAGTGATCCCAAGTTTATGCAAACCTTTGATCAGGTATTTAATATTGATTTCAGAGCTGTTGTGCAGACCATACACATGGCTGTCCCCTATCTGGAGAAGACAAACGGCACAATTATCAGTATATCCAGTATTGCTGGTATACATCCGGTATAGTATTTGTATACTACATGTCTTAATAATCAAGTATTTAATTAATAATTAATTGATTAATTTTTCTTTAAGTCATTTCCAATGCTGGCCTATTCATCAGCTAAAGCAGCGATGGATATGATGACACAAGTGTTGGCACTTGAATTGGGACCTAAAGGCATACGAGTCAATACAATTAAGTAATTTTATTATACAGTATACCTATATAGTGTAATATCAATTATCTGATTTGTTCAGTAATAATTAATTATATGTGATTTATTTATTTATATATATTGTATTAAATTTTCAGTCCTGGCGTAACACTTGTGCCCAACATAGACATAACAGATCCATATGTTAAGATATTGCTGGCAAAAGTCGTAAAGATAACACCATTGAGACGTATAGGTGTTCCCATTGATATTGCTAAAGGAGTGGTGTTTTTGGCCTCCAGTGACGCCTCATTCATAACGGGTGCCAATCTAGTCATTGATGGTGGAGTTGTTTATAACACACCGGGAGATTTGTCACTTATGTATCAATAATTTTCAAATATTATAAACATAATATAATAATTATTTTACTTTAATTTTTGAAACATTTCTTTAATTTAATTTAGTATTTCTGAAAATTAATAAAAATAAAATGTATAATAAAATTTAAAAGAAAAAATAAATTAATAAATAAAGTGCTTTTCAAAAAATTTTCTTTTTTAATTTAATAGGAATGCTATTTTATTACAACAAAATATTCAATTTAGATAATTTTTTACTTGTATTGTTATATTCAATAGTTAATATAATTTTGTTTAGTAGCACTCAATTTGTCTCTAACTTTTTAAACATTTTATTAATATAATATTATATTAAATTATATTTATTAAGTGTAGCTAAAGAAACACATATTTAATATAAAGATAGAGTATATGACATACCATACCTTTTTTTTACTTGTTTTGATGAACAGTATTTCTAATAAAAAAATACTATTTAACAGATAATAACATAAATTTGTATTATAATAATTTTAATACTAATAAAATTATAATTAATATAAAATATGTTATCTATATTACACAGTGTCATGTCATAGTGTCACAGCACATACACAGTAAGTATCAATAATTTTTGGCATATAAAATATAAGACAGTAATGTTTACGATCAATGTATAAATTTTATACAATATTTTAGATAACAATTGTAAGAGGATTGCCTGAATTCACAATATTATAAGTATTGTTATTGTTTAACAAAACTTGATACTAAATTAACATTAAATTAAATATGAAAATAATAATAATGTTATGCATTATTATAACTGTCCTATTGATTGATAATCATAAGGCAGAGTTGACGGCTATAACTAAAAAGAAATTGCATTTATGTGTTGTGTAAGTAAACAAATTTTTTGAATTAATTTATTAAATTACTATTTATTAATTAATCAATTAATTAAGCAATTGTGCTCAATGTAAGACAATGTATGGACAATATTTTAAAGGCCAACAATGCGCTGAAAGTTGCTATAAAAATACAGCTTTACTGGTTTCAGGTGAACTACCGGTGCCCGACTGTAACTCACCGTTCACTATATTTCAATATTTACAAAAAATTGAAGATAATAATAACGATAATGGTAATAATCTGTAAACTAATACATAAGTATATAATAAAAAAGTATTATGTTTATATATATATATATATCAAATTATAAATAATTTTATTTTAATTTAATCAAATATTAGATTTGAAAGAAACTACTTACTATTACAATTTATGATATTATATAAAATAAGTATATAAAATTTAATTAATATTAAAATAATTAAAATAATTTTAATTATGTATTAATATATTATTATAATCTCAATAAAATTAAATAAACAAAATGTTATTAAAATAAATTGCTAATTATTTTTGTTGGTAGTAATTTTAAACATTAATTATTGTAAAATAACAATATATTTGTATAAAATTAAAAAATTTATAGTTTTAGTCATAAATGTATTATTAGTTCATCAAAATAAATGTAATCCATTTATTATGTAATCAGTATTACTCAAATAAAAAGGCATATGCTTATTATTGTTTAATACCATATATTATATTTTATTAATATATAACTATATAATTATTTAATTGTTTTATTATATACGTATATATTATATATGTTTTATTTATATGAACCTATTTTTTCTACACTTTAATTTAAATCATTAATTAAGTAAACTAGTAATAACTGATCGTACATTTACTTTCAATGTATAATACAGTAGATATTCAAAAAAAAAAAAAAAAAATTAAAACAATTATATTTGCATACAATATACAAAATGTATTATAAGTTGTTTTAGAGAATTATAATAGTTTTGTTAATATTTAAAAATTTTACTTTCAATTGCAATTCAAATGCAATTTTCATATCATATAAATCATATGTCTAACAAAATAAATTAGTTAACTGGTGTTAATTCATTACATATGTTGCAAAAATAATAAATTATTTCATTGAATATTTGATACTTTCATTACTAAAATAATATATTCTTTACTGTATTTATGACATTATAATAAACTTACTGTTATTTTTTACAATATATATAATTAAATTACATTGCATGTAAAACACTGTTAAACAATACAATATTGGAGTACATATGTATGTACTGTAAAAACATATAAACAGTATTAATTGGCACTGTTATCTTATTAGTAAAACTCACATTTTATGGGTTATTTGCAAAAGTAATAAAATAAATACTATATTTACTTGAGGTAACTAATAAAATATGACAAAAAAGAAAGAAAATAAATTACTTAAATAAATAAAATTGCTTATTTATTTAAAATAATCATTGTTTTAAATTAATAGTTATTTTAGTTATTTTTTTCGTATAAATGTAAACTAAATTGTTTATTACAATATAAATTGAAATTGAAATTAAAATCATTAAAAAAAACAATTTGATGGACAGTCAAGAATTAATACGACGACCCAATCCATGGGACACAACAAATCCAATTTCAAAGTTATTTTTTACGTGAGTTTTATATTATGTAAAAAAATATTATTGTAATGTTTATAATTATTTTTTTAAAATGCTATTTATAAAGCAAAACTATTTTTGAATGTTTAACCTCTAATTTAACTAATTTTTTTTAGAAATTTATATATATCTTACATTTGCTAAGTCGTTGCTTATAAACATATATAAATTATTTTGCATTAAAAAATATTTGATATACTGTATTATTAAATATATTGATGTATGAAAGTTATTTTTTAGTCTACAATAATATAAATGTAGTATTTATTTATATATTTCTATGGCATATAATTATATACATGTTACTTGATTTAAACAAAAAATTTAATTAAGCATTTTATTACTGTCTCACTTTTTTTATATAATAATTGTACAGTTTTTGTAATGAAATAATATATTAATATGCTAATAATTTTATGCATCAATGTATATAAATGTAAAAAATGTTATTATATTACTTTATCATAAAATGTTGTACTTTAATTATGGAAATTATTTTAAATCTCTTATAAAATTGCTTATATTATTTATGTATTATATATTATGCAACAAATATTTCAATTTTATATCAAAACATTTTTATAATAAACATAGGTTTTGAAATTTCTCATATTTAATATTTATTTTTTTATAAACGAAATTTATATATATATATATATATATAATATTATATTATATTTTAAATTATCAATTATACTATATACTGTATATACCGGTAAATATTAATATATGCAATAATATAGATGGGTTTGGGATATATATATTAAAGGACATAAAAAGGACCTGGAGTTTAGTGATTTATACAAATGTGCGAAACGGGATCAATCACATAAAGTGGTCAACAAACTGGAAGTGTATGATTATAATTGAAAATAATTTATTTTTAATATCTATAAAATAATAAGTTAAATATTTTTAAATTATTTTTAGCCAATGGAAAAAACAATTGTTAACAAAACGACCCAGTTTATTCATAGCATTATTACGGGCATTCATTTGGGATTTTATTCCAATACTATGTGTTTTCCTATTTCAGGTAAATTTGACAAAAATAAATACATATAAAAAAATAGTAAATTAATTCTAATTTAAATTTAATATTTTTTGTTTATTAAAATATCCTAATTGTTTAATAATATTTTTTAAACAATTTTTTTAAAAATTAATTATATCGAAAATGTTTTTATAATTTTAAATTTATAAACATATGTGTAAAATTAGAACTAATTTAATATTTAAATTAATTGATTTCCTAATTATAATACAGGAACTGGTGGTCCGAATAAGTCAACCATTACTTTTAGGTCAAGTGGTTCGGTATTTTCAGACCTCTAATAACGGTGCGATTGACTATCAAACAGCCGCGTTATCGGCTGCGGGTGTAGTCGCCTGTTCGGCCGTTTTTGTGACAATCAATCACTTGAACATCACTTACGCCATGAAATTTGGTTTGAGAATGAGAGTCGCCTGTTGTGGGCTTATGTATAAAAAGGTTTGTCCGATTAAATTTTAAAAAAATGTTTTCTAAATTTATACAATTTATAGTCAATGAAACTAAATCGTACAGCACTTGGAAAGACAACTGTAGGACAGATATTGAATATGATGTCAAATGATGTCAATCGTATCGATGAGGTATAGAAATATATAATTTATTTATTTATTTATATATTGAAATGTGAATTAATTGACTATTTTTATTGAATTATCCAAAAAAAAATAGTTTGCATTCTCAGCTCACGCCCTATTTATTGGTCCACTTCAGACAATACTAATACTATACATGTTATGGGAACACTTGAAGTGGGCGTGTTTAGCGGGTCTAACGGTGCTCATACTGTTTATACCATTTCAAGGATTTATGGGCAAAAGTTTTGCAACTGTTCGCCGAAAAACTGCACATTTGACGGACAATCGGATCCGTATAATGAATGAGATTATCACTGGTATGCGCGTCATTAAGATGTATACGTGGGAGAAGTCATTTGCACAGTTGGTTGCGATGGCCCGCAAGTAAACCAACCAAACTTTGTGTACATCAATAGTGTTTATAATTAGTATTAATAACAATTATTATCAGACAGGAAATCGTCAAAATAAGACATTCAAGTTTTCTCAAAGCAATCAATTTATCATTTTATTTTGTCGCCTCAAAGATAGTATTATTTACTTGTTTTGTCACTTATGTCTATATTGGCGACCGATTGACTGCCGAAGCCGTGTTTGTGACAATGGCTTACTTTAATACAATGAGAATTACAGTCACCAAACAGTTCCCGCAAGCGATTGCAGCTACAGCTGAGTTGATGGTATCGTGCAATCGGATAGAGGTTTCTAACATCACTTTTATATGTGTTTTAGATTAAAACTTATTATTTAAATGAAATAATTATTTATTAATATATTTTACAATTTATATAAGACTTTTCTATTGCTCGATGAAATTGATTCAAACCAACAATTGACTGATAGCTCGGATGATATGAAAAAGACATTTATTAATAGGGGTTATGAAAAATGTGATAACGATTGGGAGGAAAAAGGAGTATATGTCGACAATATGACTTCACGTTGGAATATAGTATGTAATATAAAATATATTAATAGAGTATACATTTATAATTTAGACTAAAATTTTAGGACATCATTGAGCCAACACTTCATGACATAACTGTTTCACTTAAATCAGGAGAACTTTTAGCAGTGATTGGATCGGTAGGCAGTGGAAAGGTAGATATTTGACTGATTATTTCTGATAGCTGATGATTAAAATACATTATCCACTAACAAATGTAGAGTTCATTTTTGATGTCACTATTGAATGAGTTGTCTATAAAGTGGGGATCAGTCAAAGTAGTCGGACAGTTATCGTATGCACCGCAGGAGTCGTGGGCTTTTATGGCCAGTATTAGGGAAAACATATTATTTGGATCAGACTTTGATGAACACAAATACAAACAAGTGGTTCACGTTTGCGCTTTGGAAAGGGATTTCAAACTCTTTCCTTTTGGCGACAAAACTCTTGTCGGTGAACGCGGAGTATCGCTAAGTGGAGGCCAAAAGGCCCGCATAACTCTGGCCCGTGCTTTGTATCATTCGGCAGATATTTACTTATTGGACGATCCATTGTCAGCAGTGGACTCATCGGTTGCCAAACATATCTTTCAAAAGTATTTTAAAAACAATTTTAACGTCAATTAAATTTATTGACTTTGATTGATAATATAAATAAATTATTAGATGTATTGTCGACTATTTGAAAGACAAGGCACGTGTGTTGGTTACACATCAGATACAGTTCCTTAAAGATGCCCACAAAATATTAATACTAAAAGATGGCAAATGTGTGGCTCTGGGCTCTTATGAGGAACTGTCGAAAGCGGGCATTAATTTTATGTCATTCGTAAAGGAAACTGAAACCAAAAAATGCTCGAAAAATAGCGATAAAAACGATCAAAACATTGCGTTAAGACATTTGAATCGTACGATATCTATAACGCCGTCAATTGTCAGCAGTATTGGTGGACAGTCTGATGTAGACATCAATGACGGAGACATTAAATCATTAGACGTTGATTTCGTTGAAGAATTGGAAGACCAAAAAGTCAAAGAAGAGACCAAAGAGATCGGTTCCATAGACTCGAGTGTTTATTGGGAATACTTTAAGGCCGGCGCCGGACCTATACTTATGACAATATGTTTGTCAACTATAATCATATCACAGACTCTCTATCAGGGAAGTGACTTTTGGCTGACACAATGGTAACTATTTTGTCATTTGTCTCATTGAACACATGTTTTATAAATGTTATTATTTGTCAGGACTAATGATGTGGACAGAGATCAAGTGGACTCAAACCAAACTTTTAATGTAATAATATATTCAGCAATAATTGTCGGTCTGTTTTTGTCTGCAATGGCCAGAAGTACGTCATTCTTCACAATGTGTATGCGATCGTCGGTCACACTTCACAATCGTATCTTTTATTCCTTACTCAGAGCACCCATACATGTGTTTGATAGCTCACCAGTCGGTTAGTTCTCACTTTAACTTAATCTTAATTAACAATAATTATGGATTAAGTAATTTTTTTATTAAAAAATAGGCCGAATTCTCAACAGATTTACAAAAGACACCGGTATTGTTGATGAGGCCCTACCGTCCACAGCATATGACCTACAAATGGTAAAGTAATTGCATATTAATTGTATATAATTAACATTTATTACACCATTCATAGACTATATCTAATGCAATCGGTATATTAGTGGTCAATGTAATACTCAATTGGTTTCTCATATTTCCGGCAATATTTCTAGTAATAGTAGTGTTTATGTGTCGATACTTTTATATACGTTCCGCGCGTGATATTAAACGATTGGAGGGTTTATGTAATTAACTATTTGTTTAAAATAATAGAAAATTATTATTATTATAATAATTTGTATTATTGTAATCGTTATGTTTGTATAGCCCGGAGTCCGATGTATTCACACGTAAGCACAACATTGACGGGACTGTCGACTGTCCGGGCGTTTGGAACTCAGCAGATGTTTGTCCGTCAGTTCGAGCGCTTCCAGAATGACAACAGTTCCACATTCTTCATGTTTGTCTGCACTTCGCGTGGTTTCGGAATACTTATGGATTGGATTTGCATTATATATATTAGTTCAGTGGTGGCACTGGTAATGACATATCCAGACAGTAATTATTATAATAATTAAATTATTGATATCTATATTACAAATATTAAAATATATGTTTACCTATATAGAGATGCCGGGAGGCAATGCTGGTCTGGCCCTATCACAGGCACTAATGTTGACGGGAATGACTCAATGGGGTGTTCGCTGTTCAGCAGATTTAGAGTCTTATATGACATCTGTCGAGCGTATGCTTGAATACTCACGTATTGAACCCGAAGCTGAACTCAAATCGGCGCCCGAAGTCAAACCAGTGAGCGGTTGGCCACAAACGGGTGAAATCTATTTTGATAATATGAGTCTTCAGTATAATGAGTCACCCAAACCAGTGCTCCGGTATATTAATTGTCATATTAAAGGTGGAGAAAAGGTCGGTATTGTTGGCCGTACGGGTGCCGGAAAATCATCGGTTATCGCAGCGCTGTTCCGTATGACTGAGCCAACCGGTCAGATAATTATTGATGGAATAGACACCAAATCGTTGGGTTTGCATGACTTGAGACAAGTCATATCAATCATACCTCAAGATCCGGTCATTTTTACCGGTTCTGTCCGTAAAAATTTGGATCCTTTTGGAGAACACGACGACGACAAACTGTGGACAACTCTTGAAGAGGTACAACTCAAGAGTTATGTCCAACAATTGCCCGGACTATTGGACGGCATGGTTACCGAAGGAGGCGGTAATTTCAGTGTCGGTCAGCGACAACTTGTATGTCTGGCCAGAGCTATACTGCGGGACAATCGGATATTGGTGTTGGACGAGGCGACTGCCAATGTTGACCATAAAACTGATTATTTAATACAAAATACAATACGAAAAAAGTTTAACGATTGCACTGTTATTACAATAGCTCATCGGTTGAACACTATTATAGACTCCGACAAAATCATTGTATATATAATTAATAGACATTTTAGATTCATTTATGAAATTATGATAAACTAAACTAATTTCCTATTTTATTAGGTATTAGACGCGGGAGAGATAGTAGAGTGCGGATCACCGCATAAATTGTTGGCCAATAGTGACGGACTATTCAATAAATTGGTGACACAAACGGGAAAACATATGTCCGTCCGATTGAAACAAATGGCAAAAGAAAGCTATGAATTAAAATCTAATAATGCATTTCAATGAATACAATAAAATAAATTTATGAAATAAAAATTAATAAAAATAATATTTATTTATTGTTGACTACAAATATGAATATAGATTTTATAGAGTGATTATTAGAAATGTACTAAAAGTAATAAAATAGTCTATTTTTATATTATGAATGAATGTACTATCAATTGTATGCAAACAGTGCACTTACATAACATACACATTGCATAACAGTAGACATTGACTGAGCTATCGTTTGTATACAATTGATAGTACTGTACTGTATATTGTTTTTATATACTTTATATTATTTTTACAACAAATAAGTGATTTGGATTTTAATTAAAATTTAGATTTAAATTTGATGTATTTTATACACTTAATATTTCAAATATGTTATTTATAAGCAATAAAAAATATATTAATAATTTTGTAGATTATATTCAAAATAAAATTATAGTTTTATTATTATAAATATAAGAAAAGTTTTTAATAATAATAATAATTATATAACATTTTTGACGGGCGGTTGAAACCAAACGCCTACTTTACCGGGACATACGGCAGCACACGTACCGTTAGTTATCTGTGCCAATGCGTACAACGGTATCTGTTTGGTGATACCTTCACCGGAACAGCCGTTTTGATCGACGGCATTGAACACAAATTTTTCAAAGTAACCGCCGGCGCACTCACCTTCAGTTATCGCTCCCCTTTGAATCAACAATAGGTTACCTGAAAAAATAAAAAACCACAATAAACACTATATTAGTTTTTTTTATGCAATCAGAAACTAACCGTTCAAATGGACAGTATATGTGGTTAGGTTTTTCATTTTCAATTGTGTCATTTCATTTCCGAGAGTCATATTGAATACGGCATTACTTTTGCCGACCCGCCAGTCATTGCAAGAGGTTGTGTCGTCGTATGACGAATAGTGAACTAATTTACGTAATTGTGATCCGGGTTTGCATTTAAAACATTGGAGTAGAGTTTCCCGTATAGGATTCGGTGGTGTAATGTCTGACCAAACCCATTGGCGATAATGTATGAAATATATATATATATATATAAATAAAGTTTTGATAAATAAGTTTTGGTATTCAACAAAAAACAATTTTGTTTTGAATAATCTAAATGATAGGTACTATTAAAGTCATACCGAAAGCGAACAGTTCGTTAGTGGGCAACAGTTCCGTAATGGACAGACAGTAGACGACCAAACTTAGCAACACTACTATTGAAGGCAATTTAAACATTTTTGATTTTATTGTGGGGACAGTTAGATAGATATGGATAGTTAGGTGGCCAAACAATCAACTGAATAACTTTATAACTGATTGAAACAATTTAGTTTACTTTAACTGTATATTATATTATGAAATTTTATGTTTTTTTAAATTTGTACAAATTATAAAAATTTTACTAAACTTATGTTGTTATTAATCTAGATTTAATTTATAGCAAAAACATCTGACATCAAACAAAAATAACTATTTTGTTATTATTATTATTAGTATGAAATATGTTTGAAAAATTAGTTTATTTGAGTTTATTGTCACATAAAAAACTTAACTCAATTTTTTTTTTGTGATAGACTTACTGTTTATATTGAAATTGTTTATTATATACCAGTATTTAAATAATTAATATTAAATTGCTTAAGTGTATAGAATAGACATTATTAATATCAAAATAGACATTGATGTTAATATACTAAATTTATAATATTTTTATTAAGTATATAAAGTTTATATAAAATATTTATAAAATTAGTTTAAAAAAATTAAATTATATATTATAAAACATTAAATAGTTACATATGAATAATAATTATTAGAAAAAATATATATTTATTTATTTAAGATTAATTAACATATGATTAGATTAATTGTAATTTAAAATCGACTTTTATTATCACTCAACCAATGATTCTCTGGTTTGCCGACAATAGGTATAAAATTAGGAAAATTGTGTGATTTTTTCGATATCCAAGTATTAGTTATGGATGAGGAGGCGGATGCCATCTCATCATTATTTGACTCTCTGTGCTCTTCATTTTTATCACTGATCAGTTGATCTCTAGCTCTTCTCAATGGTTGCCATCCGTTATATTCAATGCGATTGCCATCCAACCGAAAATCGTTGCGCACCTTATGTATAGCACCGGTATATGAGTGCAATGCATTTGTTTGCACTGGTAGATGATTATTACTTTTCTGATTGCTATCAACATTGGTCGATATAGACTCAAATTTATGCAACAATTTAGGTTTGTTGTCGTTGTTGTCAAACTGTTGATTATAGTTATGGTGTGGATTAAGCTGTTGTTCCGCTTCTAACTTCTCAATCATTTGCATTTGTTGTGGATCTGCTGTTACCAGAACTACCTCTTCGTCGGTATTTTTATTATATGTATGATCGTTGTGTTTGTCATTTTGTTGGTCAACGCTATTATCGCTAACTTTTTCGTTGTCATTATAGGCCATCATTTGCGGCTTTTCTTTATTATAGACATACTGTTTAACAATCTGTCCATTAGGTGTGAGCCGTTGTCCAAAAGTCATATCGCTTTTTACAACTCTGAGACTATTGCTATCAGACATAGGATTGTTTATTAATTTCTTGTTTTGATATCTATTGTCATTATTGTTCAATTGTTCCCAATTATAGCTAACATAACTATTTTCAGTAATTATTGGCTCATCGCTGGGTACATACCGGTTCTGATTGATTATAGGTGCTGATGGCATAACACCTCTTATAATATCGGGTACCTGTGAACTAGTCTTAACTAAATCATGATGTCTATGTGTATTATCACTTGTATGGCGTTTATTATTATTTTTTAAATAATTTAAATACTCTTTTAACTGTTGCTGATTTGAATTAATACTGTTGTCGCCATTGGTAATCACAGTGGATGACTGATCCGTTTGTTTGTCATCAATATCGGTAGTTTGTTGACTACCAGTGTCAGCATCATTGCCACTATTATCATCAGCGCTGGTCTCGTAGACAATTCCTTCGTTTATGGTCTGCGATGGCGATGACGACGAGTCATCATTGGTAGGCACTGGTAGTTGACTATGCGATTGCATTTTTGGATCCACTTTTTGCAGGTCTATGTAAGCGCTGTGTTGTATCTCGAGGTTGGGATCATATGGCGACATATTATTATGATTATTATGTGCTGTCATGTCATACATATTATTCAGTTGTTGACTATTATCTTGTTTTTGTTGTTGATATTTCTTAAGTAGATGTTTAGCCCATGAATCTCGTCTCAGTTTTTCCCATAGCATACGCTGATAGTGTAGCCGTTTGTCGTCAATTAAGTCGGGTCTGCGGTCATTCATATTATTGCTGCCGATGTAATTAATGTGATCGTAAACTATGGGAACGGCAGAAATAATTGGTGCCACCGCTGCTGAAGTCATATAATCAGCAGTGGGTGGACGTACGGGCGGCGGTTCGCTATATATTGGCATTATTGATGATGATAATTGTGGTCCACTATTTATGCCAGTGCTGGTACCGGCAACCAAGTGAGGCATTTGCCTAAACAGGTCATATGGATTGACTACTGGCTCCGGTACAATGGGCACAGTTACGTGATGCTCGACGGGCGGGTTATTGCCTATAAGTTGCGGCACATCCTTGGGATTGACCGCAAAATGTTGGAGCTCTGGTATGTATGAAGTGGTGGCACACAATATACCACTTTTGGTGAACACGATTTCAACCGTATTGGGCGGACACTCGGAACCATTGACCGCGTATGCGGTGATCAGCAAAACTAATTGATTAACAAAAATAAAATTAATTTCAAATAAAATAAAAGTTTTATGCAATTATATAAAGATAATTAATTACTGTAAAAATATTATACAATATATATTATATTAACCACAACTATCATACCATATATGATATGTTATTTGTATAAGTATTTTAGTAAAAATAAAATAAAAATTAAGATGTTTTTCAAAACTTGTTTTTTAATCAATATTTCATATGAATATATAACTTATTTACAGTATATTGTTTTTATATACTTTATATTATTTTTGCTACATATAAGTCACTAAGATTTTAATTAAAATTTACATTTAAAATATAGTAATAAACAAAGTAAACATTTTTTCTATGTTAAACAATTCATATTTCAAATTTGTTATTTATGAGCAATAAAAAAAATATTTATAATATTATGTAATTAATAAAACTAAACTGATAACTTTAATATGTTTATTAAATATATTGATGAATTAAATATTATGTAATATTAGTAAATATTAAATTAAGTAAGATATATTTTTTGATTATTTTTGGTTAACACTAATATTAACAAAACACTATTAATTAATTGTTAAGTTTAATGATTAAAAATTTTAATCATAATTTTTTTTATATAATACTATTATGTTGAATTATAAAATTAAATCAATAAAATAAAAATAATATTTATAATTAATAATTAGTGCATCTGAAAATTATTAACACTTAATGTATTAATATTGCAATTAAACTAAATATTTTGTTAAAAATATATAAATTTATGTATATATTTTGATTAGTAAATCACGGCTTAACATATATAGATTTTTTTCATATTTTTAGTTTTGTTTGAAAAACGTGAAGTTTTAAAATTAATTTTATGCCACAGTAAAAACAAACATAAAATTGTTTAAATAGATAAAAATTATTTTACAAATTTTATTTATATATACTTAAAAATTTCAATTTTGAAGATTTTATAATTATAAGTAGCTGTTTATATAGTAAATATAAAACTTATAAATAAAAATAACTTATTTTTGTTAGAAAAAAATATAAACTTATAAACAATATTTATTAAAAAAAATATTACAATTAAAAATATTTATTTGATTATTATCAATAACAATAATGCTACTGATTTAACTTATTTTTATTATAACATATTTAATCACTATAACAAGTTTTTAAAAATTTAATAAACTTTTGAATTATAATTTTAAGTCATGAATACAAAAATTATAACATTTCTTTTATGTGATAATGAAAATATCAAAATAAATAGATTAATATTATTTAAACGTTTTGTATATAAATATAAATGAAAATATTAGTTATAATTTAGTTTGTTATCTATGAATATATTATTGATTTAATTTAAATACTCATTTGTTTTGTTTGTATTTATTTCAAATAAAATAATAACCATTTTTCAATCAATAGATTATTATTAACTCATGCATAATATATATATATATGAATTGTAATTTATAATAAAAGGCGAAAACACGTTAACATAAATAAATGAAATGTTTTTTTTGTTTTGTGTTTTGGTTTAACAAAACAAATAGGATTTACTTTTTGTTTTGTTATTTGCAAATGTGATGAGAATATAACTCTATATATATTTCTATTTGAAAATTATTTTAAACACAAAAATACCAGAATAAACAAATACACTATAATATACTGTATACAGTATAACTAACATAAAAAAATAATAACAATAAAAACATATCATTTATTTTTGCCAAAGATTAATGTGTGGAATATATTTAGAAAATATCATATAATATAATTAATATGTGTTTGTATTATATATTATAATATATAGATATGACTTATTTAGAAAGCAATGGATAGCCTTTTTTTCTCTCTCTCTAAACGATATATAATTTATATACACTATAATAGAGAGTCACTGTGTGTTTATAGCTCACTGTCGAAAACGTCTCATTAATAAACACAAACACAAACAACAATATAAGTAAATGATATTTAGGTGACCCAAACAATCAACCAATAAATTATTTATACTTTATAATGTTTAAATGTATATAAAAAAATAAAATGTATTTATGCATTTGTATTTATTTTAAACAAAATGTGTATTTTTTTCTTTCAATTGAATAATACGTTAAAGTATTACTTTATTTTGCTGTCAGTTATAATATGCATCAAAATTTAAATCATTAAATTACAGTATTATATGAATTATTATTATATTTGATTAATATTTTGTTATCAGAAAGTCATCACAAAAAAATAAAAATTCAAGTATTAAAATATCTTTATATTATTATTTATTATTATTTCTATTAATTATTGCTATAATATTTCTCACCAACAAAAATCTATCTAATTATTGATAACAGTTTATTTGTTTATTACTAATAATTTTAGTAATAATAATAATAATATTTGTAATAAGTTAAGTTTATTAATTATATGATAATAATAATAATTTACAAAAAAATCACAAATTTACATTTATTACCACTCCCTACATATTAAATATGCAAACTATAAAATGATAAATATTTTTATTTTTTTATAAATGTAAAATTCATAAAATTTTTACATATAATGATTAATTATAACTTTTATCATTATAATATGTGTATAAAATATTTTTTAATTATTTAAGTTATGATTTTTTATAAATAAATACTTTATATAAACAATATTTATATATAAAAATTTTGTAATTTTTATTTATCATATATAAAAAATATTTGTTTTATTTTTAGTTCACATTTTTGAATTTTTTAAATTTATAGTCTAATAATTAATTTAAATCATTACTTAATTAATTAGTTACCAATACTTTATAATACATTAAATATAATATAATGCATATACTATTATTAATATTTGATTTCAAGTTTAGTTAACAAATACCTTAAATACAATATTTTATTAAAAATTGATTTGATATTTTTAATTAAACTATTTTGATTATCCAATTTTATATTTTAGTAATTTAATGTGTACTGTATATAAATAGTTAGTTTTAAATGTATGATTAAAAATATAATTATGTTTTATTTATGATCAAAAATGTTTTCAAAACATTGATTTTGTCTTTTTCTTTAACTCTCTTTAAATAATAAATATTATCAAAACTTGTTGTCCAACACATACTAATTCAATATATTAATACAATATAAACTGTTTGCTATCATCAATGAATTAACAGTTAATATTTTTAATATATTTTTTAGTCTTTGAAAATAAATTAATACATGTTGTATATAATCTATTAAAGCATTAAATTGCATTTTTAGTTTTATTTATTTGTCACATAATTAAATTTTGCACACAAAACACATCATCACTTAAAACACTAATAATAAAACACAAAACTCACACATAGTTATAGCAAACTCATCAAAAAATATTATTTTTAAACACATTTATATATTTACTATCTTTTTAGTATCGAAAAGTTGAATGTATTTTATTTTCACGACTTATAATGTCATATAAATATTGTGTTGTCTTATATTAGTGATAATTATAGCAATGATTAAAAATAAAAAAACTTTTATTTGGTGTCAAACATCTTTAATCTCATAATAAGATAGAAAAATTCAAAATTAGATTATATGATAATCGATAAAAAAAAATTAATAATAATAATATCTAAACTAAAATCATCTTTTACTATCTCTACTATAAATAGTACTATATTATAGGTTTTAGTATTTACAGAAATTTAATTAATAAGCTATATATATATATAAATAATATTATAAAAATTATTAAAATAACACTAAGAACATAAAAAACAATGATAATAATAATAATAATAAATATTATTCATAACAATAATATTTATTAATAATTTTCATCTGATTTTTCTATATGCCTATTAATTTTAATAACAATATTTTTATATTATAATAATTTCTATGCATTCAAATAATTTAAAGAAAAGTATTTATATTTAAATATACTATCTATAACTTCCCTGTCATATATTTATAAATACTGTATACTATATACTGTATTTATATGCATTTATATAATCCTATTTGATTTTACATTATTTATAACTTAAAGGAGAAGCAACAAAAAAATAATAATACTAATAATAATAATAAAAGTAATAATAATAAAATATAATATACATCTATGAATAAGTGAATAATAACTATATTTACAAGATTTTTATAAAATATTATATACAGAAATTTGTGTCATAAAAATAATACACTAATCATTTAAAAATCAGTTTTCAAAATACTCATCGCATACACAATAATAATAATCTACTAATTTTTGCATCACAACTGACAGCACCATAACTGGGCTTATAATGGGTTAGTATATTATTATAGTATTGCTATTTATGCGGTTTCCGGATATATTAAATTTTATATTATGATTATTATTATTAATAGTATTATTATTTTTGTTAGGTATCACCACTAACATACCATATATATATATATATATATAAATATACTGTATATTGTATCTACACATTTTTGTGTGTATATTTACAACAATAACAATACAATTACATGTATTTTTAAGTTTAATATATACTTTAATTACTTTAGAGTTATTAATTTGAATTCATCATCATAATACAAAATAATAATAATGAAAATAATGAAAATATAAATAAAATATAGTACACACATATATTATAATTCATAATAATTTTATATTATATATATATAGTATATGATGTATGTGTGTGTTTAATAGCTGCTAAAATAAAAAACTTTTTTACATCAATTAAATCAAACTTCTAAAAACTTTTCCCGGTTATTATGCATTCATTAAACTATTTATAAACTTTTTTATTATATACTTTACAACATTATGGTATTATTGAATTAATTAAATATGAAATTATTGTTTCTGTATAAAACAAAAAAAAAATAAAGTAGGAGGAAAGTCGTTTAAAATTTTTTATTACAATCTCAAAATTATATCAATAATATCTATAATATATAATTTATGACTAAATTTTTAATAGCACTAAAATTTTATTATTTTTATTTAGACTTACAAACTAATCTATTATATTATAGTAACTAATGTATATTTTTATCATTATTCTTATACCTTTATATTATTATTGTTATTAAAATATTTTGCTTAATATGATATAAATATAAGGAGAGTATAAAAAATTATGTTATGAGTAGAAAAATAATTTGAAAATTAATTTTTTTATAAAACATAATTGACATATTATTTTTAAATTGTAGGAAATCAATGTTTTATGATGTATAATGTACTATAATTTAATTTTTTTTATATCTAAAATAATAGTAATTTTAGAGTTATTTTTTGTAATTGTACAATAATAATAAGTTAGATTAAAATTATATTGCTATTAAAATGTAATGTTTTAATTAATTTAAGTAAATTAAATATATCAATTATTATTTTTATTTGCTATTTCAATTACAAAATTTATATTAAATAATCTATACTATATAATGTAGATCTTAAATAAACATAATTACTTATTGATAATTACACGCCTAAAATTAAATTAAGTCTACTATTCATAGATTACTGTTAATTGTATACATAATCATTATGTTAAGATAAAATTAATGCTAAACACGTAAAGTTTATTATAAAATTATTTTATATATATATTTATATATAAACATATGTATATTAAAATAAACATATAATTAAATATAGATTTACTTTCTCTCAAATCATAATTACTGTAATAATATAATTTTATTGTTCAAAATATAAGAGTATTTTTTTTATAAACAAATATTTTACAAACAACATTTAAATTATATTAATTCAACACATGTAATAATAATTATTATTATTACTATAATATTATTTAAAAAATTTATTGTATTAAAAACTTACCAAATGTTTGCAAAGTGATTAAAAGTAAATCCATTGTATAATTTTTAGTAAACAATAAATTGAGCAAATATTCAATGATATTCAATAATAGTTATTATATGATAACAAAGTTTTACTTTATTATCATAAAACTTTTAAAAAAAAACTTTTTTATTTAAATAAAAACTTTTATGATATGAAAGTTTATGAAAAGTTTTTGTGGATGTTATGTAGAGGACAGTCAGTCAGTCAGTGCCATCCAAGCGATGAGATGCAAGTGTTTTATTAGTCACTATAAACTCTCTCTTAAAATCAATTTAATATTACAACAAGTGATAGTGTAATGTCTGATGTTATGCATCAGTGGACGGCATAACTCGTACTGTTTGACTATATATATATATATATATATTAGAGCTTATGGAGCTAACTATAAAAGAAAATAAAAAACATGAGTTCACTACTATTATATAATATATATACTGCTATATACAATATCTATATTGCTATATTGTATATACTGTATATATTAAAAATACATGTGAAACACATACCACTTGTTTTTATATGTTTGTTAGTTAAAAAAAAAGATTTATAGTAAAAAAATAGTTAGATTTTCATATGTGTTTCAATGTGTTGTTGTAAGTGATTGAGTATGAGAGAGGAGACCTGCAAACACATACACATATATACAAAACTAGTCTTATGCTATGATATATTATCTTCTAGTCTCGGCACTAGGCTATTGACTACCAGTGCGCGTTAACCTCACCATCAAACGGTTTGCCTCATAAAAATTTCAACACTATTTTTTTGAGTGCATTTATTTTGTACAAAAATGCCTTAATATATTTATACAGTTAAATAATATTAAAGGATTTTTTTTTATTATTTATATCCAATAAAAAGTATAATAAATTACGACTAAAACGAGTGAAAAACTTTTTAAATTTTGTTTTAACAAAAAAAAAGATTAAATTTTTGTAACAAAAACCAAAAATTTTTTATTTTAATTTATTTTTTTTATTATTTTAAATTGTATTTTATTTTGATTTTTTTAATCACAAAAATCATGACCACTGATTGTACTATCATTTTAAACCAGTCATTAATTATTTAAATTTTTATAAAAAATTTATTAAAGTTAAATGCACTTACGATAAAAATAACAATAATAAAAGTAATAATAATAAACATATATTTATTTACGATTTTATCATTTGATTTCTCACTTATTATTTTAAAAGTAATTAATAACTTAATAATATTTTATCTATAATTATTTTTTTATTAAAAATAGATAGTATTCTATATTTATATAAACATATATTTTCTTAAATAAAACTTTAAACTGACTGATAATAAAACTTTCTAATGATAATATTATTTATCAATAAATTATTTTTTTAATATTGGTTATTTTCAATATTCAATTTTAGAAATTATTTAATAGATTTTAACTAAATATATACAGAATTTAAAAAAAATCTATTTTCAATAACATCAATTTTGAAATTTATAAAATCAATTATTTTCAACAATAAACTGTAATGATATATAAAATTTAACAATAATTTCAATAATACAATAATTCAAATAATTTATAAAGGATCATATTTTATAGATTTTTTAAAAAAAAATTAATTTATTTTATATAATAAATTTTGTTTTCATTTAAATATTATTTTTAGATATCATATTTATTCATATGTTTATGTATTTTTTTGTTATTATCTATCATTAATATTGTTGTTAATATTATTTTTATTATTATAGTGAATAAAGGGAACACAGCAGTGATATTGAGATTAAGATTAATATTATTGAAATCACTGAATCTTTCATTTAATTTTACTTTAAAAATAGTTTAGATATATATACAGTATATATATAATATAAAGAGGTTATTGGTATTGTAAATAAGTTTTTTAAAATAAAAAACTACTGTACTATAATATACAATATTAATGTAGCTTATTATATAAGTCAGTTATATTAAATGTATATAATTGTTACACAAAAAATCATATATAACATTAACGATATGTTTATGAAAAAATTGTTATATAAAAAATATGTATTACAGCTTTTTTTAGTATACATATTGTATATATATTTTGTATAGTAAGGCAAAAAAATACACAAATATGATGAGACATGTAATTCATTTTTGGCAAAATTGAAAATTTATTATTATTCATACATATTTCACGGAGAGATTTTGTTATTGTTATTATAATAAAATACAGTATATTTATTTGGAGATCATATTATTGTTAAAAATAGCATAGGTTTATATAAAAAAAAGTAACACATATTTCACAATTAATTTATCTAAAAGATTTTAATTTAGCATATAGGATTGTAATATATTATTTAATATATAAAAATCACAAAATAGTAATATTAAACTCATTAAAAATATTTTTTCTATATTTTATTTTTAGAAATAAAACTAAATATATACTATAAGTACCGTATATATACTATTAATTGATTTGTAGTGCAACTATGGTTTTTATATTTTATAAAA